TTTTATTAAGATTGCATCTGTTTGGAGGCAACTTGAAAAAGAAATGCAGAAGCTGTTTTTGTGACAAGAAAAACAAAAATCAGGCAGCTCTAAACAGATTTTCAGGCCTCTTAACTTGATCTGGAAGTTTCGCAAAGCCAAGTGACAAGACTTAATTCGTAGTTTATTCATCTCAAAACACTAGGTGACGTAGTGTATGTGTTTAACGTTTAGTGTCCCTGAGAGAGGTGGTGTTTGTGCTGGAGGAAAAAAAAAGGGCATCTGGTGGAAAAAAAGGAAAAACTTGATGGGAACCCAGGGAGCTGCTGCTTCTGCAGAACAGTTGCATGACCTTTTCTAAAATGCTGCCACCCGCCTGCCACTGTAACACAGTCGGGCTAATTAAAGTTTCAGTGGCATTGAATTTTCACTAGCATAGCACACCTCGGGCAACCTTGGGGGCTCAAAGAGGGAAAGATTGGCACTATAAGACAAGAGGCGGGGTGTGGTGGATGAAAAGAGCTGAACAGGCGGACAGCCACTAGAGGACAGTGTGTCAAATCTAAGCAGCAGCTTCCCATAGGACCAAGAGAAAAGTACAATATTAGGATGCAGATTTGGTTTTTTGGGTAAGCTCCAATCTTGTTTGACCTTTTAAACTGAAAGAATCGAGTTCATTTTGAATTAAAAATCGAACAGAAAGCATCCAGCTGCGTACAGCTGGAAGGATGCAAGAGCTGAGCGAAAGCTATCCAATGTCAAAATGCTGAGTGCTTTTCCAAATCTTATTGGGCCGCCTCTCAGCCCTAATGGAATCTTGATGGGTCGGTTTCAAGAATAAACGCATGACTTATGACATGACTGCTGCGAGCATTAGCCAGTATCCTGGACAGCATGTTCCCGTCTCCAAAGCATCATTGAATAATTGGCCACATTTGACCGGGACATTTCTGGAAACACAGCCAAGAAAAGGTTATGCAACCAGACAGCGCCGCTCATAGCCTGTATTTCACAATCTGTTGGCCTTGTCTCCGTTAATGATCTTGACCCTCTTTTTCATCATGTTGGAAGTGAAAAGGACTTAATGAAGCTGAACAAAGCTGCTTGTGTGCAAACGTGTTTGAGAGACGGAGATAGCGAGGAAAAGACGGCCCATGTGACTGTTTGTTACGGCTTGATGAGGTCTTGGTCTGCGATTCCTGGGGGATGCGGTGCAATCTAGGCTTTATTAGGCCTGACTGAGCTGTGAGCAGGAATGTTTGTGCGTGTCTTTCCTCTATCAGGAACATTTTCCAGAGCTTAATAAGTGCTTCTGAGTGAGAGTCAAAAATGCACTCAGCTCGTAGCAGTTTGATGGACCCTTTCCCTCAAGCCCCTTCTTTCTACAGGATGCGAAAGCGTAACAAAATAGAGGCATTTTACCTGCGAGCTCCCTTCCAAACGGGAGCAATTCTGCCACAAAACGGGAGCAAAAGCATTCCACACAGTCGATCCTGTGAGGTCACAAAAATCACAGAAGATTTGCAACACGACGCGGGATTTCAGACGTTGCAGCCAAGAAGAAAGATAGCAGCACGCATCCAAAAAGGTCTGTGACTTATTTCCTGTTCTGTTTACCTTGGCTATGGGGTTTAAACAGGAAATTACTTACATTCATCTTTTATTTTGAAAGTCTCCAAATGTTTTACATTGGTTTTGTGTTCGACTTCCTGTCTGGCCTGAGCTTAGCAGCGGAAATTGGCGTGTTTTGGAAATGTAGCGCGTAAGAAATAGGCACGAAATGTAACAACAGTGGCTCAGGGCAGCTGTGGCTACATTGCAGAGCGTCATCACCAGCATTTGAATGGGTGAATGACTGTCTTGTGAAGCGCCTTGGGGGGCTGTAGAACCCTAGGAAGGTGCTATACAAATACAGGCTATTTACCACTTCTCAAAACACTTCACTTTGTTGCTGGTGGAAAGGATGCCGTCCACTATAACGGCGGATAATTACTGCGTAGTACATTTTGTGGCCGTTTCGTGATGCCTTCATGTTTGGTGGGAAGAAGGGGTTAGACATTAGATTTATACATGATAATGCTAGCATTTACAAATGTATATAAAAAGGTTTTGCTAATTTTGAGTTTAATGGAAGCCAAGCTTTAGACAAAACCTGAAATAGGGACAAAAACATAAAATAAACCTCTGCAGCACAAACAAAACAATAAAGGCTTGAAATCGTTCAAGATGCATGAGGCAAAATGTATGCTCCTTACAAATGATATTTAGAATTGATAGATGTTGCAACCTCATAAATAAAAAGTGATAGAAAGCAAGAATCAGTGATAGCTTTAAACCTGTTTGTCCATCTCTACTGTGGATCAATACATACGCAATAAAGAGCAGCAAATTCAGCTTTTATTTCTGGGAGGTCTATCTACTCTGGAGTCTGATGATTAGAGCTCCAGCTATCGAATATTTTTGTAATCGAGTACTCTATTGAATCTTTTATCGATTAATCGAGTACTCTAATAAATTACCCTTTTGTGTTTGTAAACCATTAATAGCATGTTATAAAATATGAAAGACCTCTTAAAATGAGCACGCAATTGCCAGTTATTCTTCAAGTTTTATTCAAAATTAGTTTTCAAAACTTCAGCACTTCAACTTTACTTTACAGTAAACAAATGCCTGCGCAAAACATAAGTATACAACCTGAGCCGATTTTCCCCTCGTGTGAGACTCTACTAGCCTGGCAAGCCAGACAAAAACTAGGAGGATAACTGTTGAAGTAGCGCTGCTAGCGGCTGCGGCCCAAACAGCACCAGAACTGCTCAAGGAGCATGCGCAAACATGGCTTGCCAGCTATTTCCGTATTAATGCACGTCCGTTTTCATTTCTACACTTTGTTCTCACACACTAACAAGGATTGTCGAGAAAGCATGTTTGCCGTGGTTATGTCAAATTATACTGATCACAAAACATTTATTTACTTTCTTTTGTTTTCCTCCATAAACACCTGCGTCCTCCAGCAGCAATCCCGAGGGACAACAGACGGCGATAACAACACAATAAAAAGTCTGACATGTTGTGTAAAAACTGCTATTTTTAGCACATTTTTAGGTCCGACGAGTTGCTACCAGACGAAAAAGTCGCACAGTGTCCGCAGAATATATAGCGGACCTCCGAGTCCGCTTGCAGAAGTGACAATTACATGTGGATGTTTCCTGGTCAGGTGCTGCAGCATGAAGGATGTGGTGTTGTGGTAGGCTAAATCCATTTTACAGTATTTACACTGGACTACGTTTTCCACCTTACGACGTGAAAAATGGTCCCACACCTTTGACATTTAATGTCTTTTTTGCACTCCACCAGGGTCCACGTTGTCCGCCATAGCTTAAGAGAAAGTTAAGACATTCGCTACTCGCGTGTGCATTCAGTGCAGTGTGTATGTGCATCACTTATTTCGGTCCGGGTGAAACATGACCCCGGGCGATGAATTAATTAAACATGAATTAAACAAAGCCTCGAGGCAGAGAATTTGACTCGAGGCTTTTTTGTACTCGAATTATTCGAGGTACTCGAGGAATCGTTTCAGCCTTACTGAATATTATTCCTACAGAAAGTGTTCCAGTCTGCACCAAAAAACTACAGCTAGGTGCCATTTTTAGTTTTTGCAAACAGCCCAAAACAATCAAGTAAGCAAGCGTGTGATTTATTACTGATGATTCCATTATGAAAACGAAAGATTATTTCTTAAACTGGAGTTCTTTAAAACAAAAACATAGAAATATATCAGCAAGTGTTACCCAATATGAGATAATTCACCATCATTTTGAGATGCAAACAGCATTTCCCTGACAACGGGGTTGCAAAGTCATTTTTAGGAAAAATAATTAAAATATATTGAGCATAATGGTAAGCAGTCATTAAAAAGACACAAAAACATAATGTCTGTGTGCTTTGAAAAGGTATGAATTCTTTTATTGTTTAATTGTAATCCACTTTGATCTAATGGGCTCGACACACGGGAGGCGACATCGCCTCTCCTCCATTCATTTTCAATGAGACATGTGCGACAAAGCGATAATCGCGGGTCTCCCTCCTACCAAGTGAAACGCGAAAAACGTGCGTGTGAAATTTTGCGCTCGTGCACGTGTCGTGCACAGGCGACCCAGCGACAAGATCTCAGAAAGTTGAAAAATTTTCAACTTTTCATCGCTGTCGCTCGGACGAGGACCAATCAACGGAGGTTTCATTCACTGACCAATGAGCGGACAGGTTGCTCCGCACATCTCCGAGCAAACATGAAGGAGAAGTTGATTATTATTATGTTTTATATAGTAAAATCAGAAGTAAGATTTCACATAACTCTAGCAGCACCTTGTGAAAAATCATATCTACCACTTTTTTAACTCTGAACCGCTTTAATAACCTTAATTCCCTCCAACCTGACACAGCCAAGCAAAACAACGGAAGTTTCGATTTCGCCATGGAACAGAACGCGTAGACGGCTTTGCCGCTGGCCGCGGGTCGCCTCCCGTGTGTCAGGTAATAAAAGCGACAGCGACAAATTTCGCTGATCGCGGTCGTTTGTCGCCTCCCATGTGTTGAGCCCATAAGTCAGGGGTCTCCAAATCCGGGCCTCGAGGTCCGCTATCCCGCATGTTTTAGTAGTTTCCCTGCTCCAACACCCCAAAGGCTGAATCACCAGTTCAGCCTGCTAACCACCTGCTGGTTAAAACCAGGTGTGTTGAATCAGGGAAACAACTAAAACATGCTGGATCGCTGACCTTGAGGAGTCCTACTTGGACTAGGTAACAGCTAGTCATCCCAGTCAGAGATCATCTCAAGGCTAAGGTGACTGAAACTGCTACTATCTTCTTCAGGTAAGATACTATTTGTTTGTAATGTTTCAACAGAAAAGATATAAGCTATCGCTTTAAGGATGACTTCTTTCTTAGGTCATGGCGTGTAAAGAACAATCAATGTCCTCAAGAGATTAATGTAATTAGCATAGTGAGATGCGTTCAAGTACTCACGGTTGGCAAAGTTTGATGAGGTCTTGGTCAGTGGTTCCAGGAGGCAGGCCGCGAATGTACAGGTTGGTCTTACTCAGCTGCTCCGCCCCTCCCTGGTTGCAGCTGTTGGTGCTGGGACTGGGAGGAGCCATGGGATGAGGGGGTGGAGCATAGGGCTGCTGGGAAAATAAGATAAAGATGTCCGATTTAATAGAAATTCATAAAAGTAGTTTTCAGTTTAGACATGAGGAGTCATTCAGGCACCAAGAAGTGAGATGAGATGATGTAAAAGAAGAGAAAAGATGTTTAACAGTATCTTTGGGACAACAAGGGACATAAATTGCCTGTTGCTAAGAGATGAAACCCCAACAGCTGATAAAAATGAGTAAAATTCCAATCACACGACTATAATCTGAACTAGAATAAGCTGCAGTGGAAACAAGATTGACCATCTACATAATAAAAGGTTCTTCAGGTGAAATCACAGGAGACACCTTCACATCTACTTTCCTTCTTCAATTTGCTTCATTTTGTATTTTCAGTAAACATTTTCAACAAGGAGACTGAAATTAAGCTTCGTATGGCTTCCAGCGGCTTATAAACACTTTTAAATGATGGCAACCTCCTGCTCTCTACTAATAATGCCAGAACCAATTTCATTACTCTGTGAAAACAATTTACACCTTCAAGGGTATGAGATCCCCATGCAATAATCCACTCCGGTGTATTTTATAACCATCTACATAGGAATGGTTTTAACATTCTCTCCATCTCATGCTCCTTTGTTTTCCTCACTTCCTTTGCCACCTCTACTCGCTTTGTTTGCTTGTTGTGCTGTTAAGTGTAGATTTATGGTATAGGAGTCAGGGCCCCCTGCTCACAGACCATTTATATCTCTATTGCAGGGACGCTGCACATAATGACAGAGAGGGAGAGCTGGAGCCCTGCAGGCAGGAAAAGAAAAGGACCACAACGAGGAGGAAACTGGTCGAAGGAGTGGGAGGACTCAGGTGGAAAAGAAGGAGAGGAAAAAAGAATGCACAATGTAAAAAAAATAAAAAAGCTAACTGAGCGACGGATGAAGAAAACGAGAGAAAAAAATGTTCAGGGAGGAAGTGAGACATGACAAAATACCACCAGCAGCTTCGGTTAACCAGGTTAACCATTAACCTCCCTGGGGAGAACCTCAAAACCTCAACGTATGCCGTTAAAACACACACACACACACACACACACACACACACACACACACACACACACACACACACACACACACACACGCACGCACGCACACACTATTAGCACTCCAATCTGCAGCAACAGTTGGAGCACGGTTGATTTGATGTGCTTTTTTAAGTGTGTGTGTGTGTGTGCACGTGCGCCATGCCAGCGTGTCGCCTCCCACCTCTCAGACAAAGAACCGGGGTCCCTGGAGCGTGAAAAGGGAGCCATGTCCATCAATGGATGGCCAATTACCACACTGAGCTAAAGGGAACTGATGGGCAGCCACTCACTGTGCTGTGCTAACACACACACACACACACACACACACACACACATGAACCAACGTGGTGTGATAACACAGAAACACCTTCACACATAAGCAGAATCAGCCATCTAAGGACGGTGGAAAACCTTCCACATCCAAAACTGAAGAAATAATCAGTCGCTGCCCAAATCCATTCCTTGAAACAGAAAACTGAAAAATAAAAAGTAGCATTTAAAAATGCAAATCATGTATGTGTCTGATTTCTGCTGTAATTGGGTGTTTCTACACTGTAGGAATCAGGTGGAATATCAATGACTCCTGTCTATGTTTAGTAAATCCATCCATCTGTTTACGGCCACTTATCCAGGGTCAGGTCGTGGGGACAGTAGTCTAAGTAAGCCTACATTTTAATTGAATAATGTTTTTAAATGAATAAAATAATTGTATTAAATAACTCTTATGACTCATTGTTGTAGTTTTTTATTACGGAGATAAATTTGAGGCATATTTTCAGTTGATTTTCTTTTAAATTTAAATGAATATCGTTGCTAAATTGTGCTCCCTATGTGATTCCCATGCATGGAACAGCTTACAAATCTGAATTAGTCTCGACTTTACCACCTTTCCTGAGCATTTTCTTCCTCTCAGTTACCTGAAGCTGCACAGCAGCAGTAATAGCCTACATTTATGGGTCACCTTTGTGTGTTATTTTGCAGAGGTGTGGACTCGAGTCACATAACTTGGAATCGAGTCAGACTCGAGTCATTATTTTAATGACTTCTGACTTGACTTGATAAAATCTATAAATACTTACGACATGACTCGGACTTGAACGCCAATGACTTGCGACTTGAATTGACTTGCATCTGCTGACTTGGTAATGACTTGAGCATATTTGATATTTTAGCACAAAAGTGGCACGACATGGACAAAAATCATGAATCATTCTTCGTTCTGGGTTTGATTTACTGCTAAATGCAGCAGCACTTTGTTTATAATCAGTTTCGGTTGCACTTTCTGCTTGTTTGAGCAAATAAAAGAAGCTTTAAGAAGATTTATTTCTGGAATTTATTTATTATCATTGTCATTAAATTGAAGTTGGACAGATGACTTGATTATGACTTTAAAATTTAAAGTTAAGGACTTGGACTTGAGTTGGACTTCCACATCATTGACTTTGTATTGTCTTTGACTTGGACTTGACTGGAAAGACTCGAGACTTAAGCCTAGTTTATGCTTCTCCGTCAGCTCCGCAAGGGACAGACACGCACGGATTGACGGAAGCGTTTTGCTTTCATACTTCTCCGTCTCCTGGAGAGTGTTGCAAAGCAATTGCCCGGCAGGACCACAGAGGGCGTAGCGCTGTTCTGTGGTATCCTGTCATGTATCGGTCCAAGATAGTGTGTTTATATTGTGTTTTTTGTGTATATAAGAGACTTTTAACACGGACATATTTGTCTCTCATTCTCCCACCTCTTCATGCGCTCCTCACCTCTAAACCCACGTTTCCTGTCATTTCCGTCCACAAATAAAACGCTTGCTGCGCATCTTTTCACTCCTCCAGTCACGGGAGGATGAAACGTTCATATTTTTAGTTTTTTTTTCGGGAGGCATTCTTCAAGCTTCTCCGTGTCTGCCGCTAGTTATCCTCGGCTCTCTTTTCAATGGCGGAGCTGTAAACAACAGCGGCGTTCTGACCAATCACAAGCTTGCGTAATCCGTCTCGTTCGACGGATGTTTAAAAAAGTGGGCTCGATTCCGTACGTACTTGCGTGCCAGCCGGAGCCCTACGCACGGACGGATAATGGCGTTGCGTGTCTCCGCACTGACGTAGACGGAGAAGCATAAATCAGGCATTAGTTGTAACTCGCAAAGCAGTGACTTGGTCACACCTTGGTTCAGGGTTTGCATGTTACACACACACTCCCAAAATCTGAGACACGACAGAGTTACTGTAGGTGCTGAATGTTAACACAAAGTTTCCCTCCTTGTATAGGCTTAAGTTTCAGTGATGTACAGAGCTCTAGTTCTCCTCCTTCTCGTCTTTGGACTCCAGGCTTGGCTTGCATTCTGGGTATTTGGAATTCACATGTCCTGCCCTATCGATTTACTTTCATTTTTTAAGGTCAGAAGCTGAAATCTTACACAATGAGGCATGGAGGGTCACAACGAGACCATTACTTACAGAGCTGGGCGAAGAGGAACAGAGTGAGGTTATCCAAGGGGAAAGGAAGGGGAAAAAGCTGGAAAAGTCCTCTGGGATGAAGAATGGACTGGGTGCTAAAGGTCCATAAAGAATGGTTGGGTATGATGGTGAGAAGATGTGTGTATTTAGTGGAGACTTTCTGATGGTGGTCTTTTGTTTTGTGCAAAAAAAAAAAAGGAAATTTGAAAGTTTAAAATGCAGACTTGAAATCTCACTGATTGGGTTATTAACCAAGTTTCTTTCTGTCCCTGTTTATCCACAGCCTTAAGGATCTAAGGGAAACAGCAGGTGGCAAAGTATGTTTTAGTAAAGAAGACAAGGAGACAAAGGTTGGGAGAAAAAGCACGATTAGACAACTTGAAGAGAGAAATCGAGAAGTGTGGGAGAATCGCTGGTTATGACACTTGAAAAAAAACTCCAGGTGGCAAATGAGAAAAGCTCCATTCTCCCTCCTCCCCACCCAGCTGTGACACACCGCCCGCTACACAGACTTACTGGGGATTTCAATTTGCTCCACTGTATTTTAGACAGGCAAAATGGTTTACACAGGCCCAATTTACTGAACCAGCCATGCGGGGGGGGGGGGGGGGGGGGGGGTTCGCAGCCTCCGTGACATGCCAGGGAATGTTTATGAGTGTATTAAGTGAGGATGAAAAATCTAGCAAACGTGGCTGAGGGCACATAGCGTTACGCTGTATATTCAAACATCCACACAAGGACAACACCTTTTATTTATTTCATTTTTATAAACAGAGCACTTTGTCACGCACAATAAAAATGTTCTTTGTTTACCATTTGTGAAATGCAGCTTCTTATACCAAACAGAATGGCTGCACACTGTTAGAATTTTCAGAAACCTCACAAAATGTGCTTTATTTCTAGATGTTTAAGAATTAGAACTGGACATGTAACCACTGTTGGACAGAATTAGGCTTGGCACCACTATCGGAACTACCGGGTAATTTTACCAGACCTTTAGTATGCGCGTTCCTCCATTTCACCGGGCCGGCTCAAAAGGACCATTGTCCAGACCATTTCAGGGACCAACTGAGTACCTGAAGTGGGACATGTACTCAGAAATAGCCTGGTAAAGTCATTGGGAGGTACTTGGTTAACTCGTGCTGATTGGTTGGATCTCAGTGGGAAAAGATGTTCCCCACCACCAGAAATTTCCCAGAACTCCTAAAGTGGAAACACAGCTAATAAGGCAATGAGCATAAAGATGAGTGCTGAAAGGTTTTGTCTTTCGACGGCAACTTAAATGGTTCTTGCAAGACTTCACGGGCTTTTTTTGTAGTGCATGAAATCGCTTCATACCAGGAGAGAGGTCTTTTTCTTGACTCAATCAAGACAGCCTGGCCAAAGAAAAAGTCTCCACCAAAGAAAAAGGTCACACACTCTAATATTTCGTTGGACCACCTTTAGCTTTGATTACAGCACACAGTCGCTGTGTCATTGTTTCAATAAGCTTCTGCAATGTC